TTGTAACTTTTCATTGCCTTAGATATGTAGCCCATGGAGGGTTTGTCAGTGTCAACCATGCATAATACACTGACTAAAAGGAAAGAAAGCCTTGAGAGTTTGATGAACCCACACCAAACGTTCCTAGATAGGATGCTAGCTCGTGCCTTCTTCCCTTTTTGATGCCTGTGCCACTTGTGTCCTATCAAATCCTCCAAAGTAAACATCAGCCTCAACTGGTTGCTCTTCATATGTGCTGTGCATTGCACCAGAAATAGGTATTAAATCTCGTGACCCCTGACCAAATTATCCCCTTTTTGTGAACATGTGCATCATACTGCGAGTGAGGGTGTGGTTATAGATGAAGGCTGTAACTGATCTAGCCTTACTAGCTATGCCTTCAATCCTGGATATAATGCCAATAGCTTCAGGCATGAGGTTTATGCAGTGGCTGCACATGGTGTCCAAATGATATGAGGGTAGTTCTGGTGCAACAAATTAGAAGCAGCTACATTAGAGCAACATTGTCTGAGACTATCTAAATAACATTAGCTACCCAACCTCCATAATATTCATCTCAATCGATTTATATGTATCGGGTACCATGGATATCATCAGAGGCTGAATTGATCTAAAGCAACACGTTTGGTTCGCATGAAAATATTTTCTAGAAAACATGTTTGCATGAAAAAATTCTCATGCAGTCAAGTGTGGGAATATATTCATACCTGTTGGTCGTAGTGCATCTTGTCACACCAATTGGCAACTAACTGATGTAAAATTATTCCCACATTTGACCACATGATAATTTTTTCATGTGAAAATGTTTTCTAGAAATCATTTTCACACGAACCAAACGTGCCATTAAAGGACAATTGACCAACAAATTCATCTGACTCCTCTTTCCATCACTCCAAGAGTTGGTCATAATAAATACCTTAATGAGCTGATACTCCTTATATGTGTCTACGAGCTCCTCTGTGAGATCTCCCTTGTTTTTTCAAAAGAGCTCTAAAAGCTCATATGGGATTGGAGGAGCCTCAATTCAGGCCAAATCGGCCAATTGCTTCCAACATCGTGTAGAAGCTACTTAGGTGAGTAGCATTGAAAGGAATGCCTGCCTCATATGCCCTCCAAGCAATGTACTGATTTTCAATTGTGGTTTACTTCTTTGTTTTCTCAATTTTAACCTTAGGGATAGAGGAGGGAAAACAATCCATAGGCCCCTTCACTTGAGACCTCTCCTAGACTGGGACAAAAGCTACTCAGTGTCCCCCTCATCCTCACTCTCATCATCATCAAACACACGAACTCCAACTGTTAAATCTATTGTACAAACTTCCTTTAGTTCTTTTTTTGTTTTACCAAATTCTAATCTTGTTTAATCTCCCCCTTAATAGGTTCATAAACCTTCTTACAAAGGGCAACATCCCCTTTTATAACGGCCAGGTGTTTCTTAAACCAGTTTATACATCCCTCTAATAACAAGGTATTTCTTGAACCGGTTTATACCCCATCAGTATCTTTTTCATAATAGTTACACCTTATACAATTTTTGTCCTTTGGATTCTAGTTTTTTTTTTTTGATAAAGTGATTCGGGTTATAACAGTACTTCCTCGATCACCACTTCTAGGAGAACCTGAAGAAGACATTGTAAGAACCACAAAAACCCAAAAAAAAAAAAGAAAGATCTCAAATATGAAGATTTTCGAATTACCTTCATGCTCGATCTTTAATTTTCAATGTTTGAGATGTTTGCCAATCTCAAAAGCTCGTTAATAACCATCTAATAAGTTTTCAAAATGCATAAAATTGAATTAAAAAAAAAGGATGATGTTTGGATCAATTTTCGAAAACTTTGAATTTGAAGCTCAATCCAATCAAATTTGAAATTTGTTGCATATTTTGAGTATTTGGGATCTATTGGGGTTAAAAATGGGTTTAGGGGTTTTAGAAATAGCCCACCCCCATTGCCTCCTTATTTGGGAGGGAAAAGCTGAAAAGGCCCCCATCTGAGGGGCATTTTTGATCCTAGGTGGGCGCACCTGAGGACCTGCCTAGGACTAGGCACTGGGCATTGGCCTAGGGTCCCTTGGTGGGCACCCAGGGACAGGCTGTCTAGTTGGCCTGCCCTGGTTTGGGCAATGTGCCTAGGCCCCCCTTGGCCTGCCTAGGCACTGGGCGGGTCGCTTTTCAAAACATTGCCTGTTACTAGTCAATAGTTTCACTTCAAAAACTTGAAAGCGAAGATAAAAAAGGAAGGCTATGAAATTCATGACAAATAGGAATATTTGTGCAATGTTCATTGTTTGAGACATGATGAAAGTACATCATATGATAATCAGTACTTTTTTTGTGTTAGTATGAATAACGTGATCATTGGTATTCATACAACTCAAAGAATTAGATCTATAAATGGTATGAGTCTTTAGAACGATTCTTATGCAAATGGAATATTTCTTAGCAATTGTTTCTTAATATTCTGTCATGAACTTTTGTTTTGTAAATCTCTTTAGTTGTCAAAATATTTTGCACTTCACATCCTTTCCTTTGTTGTGCTAAGCATCAGTGTTTATCTTAATGACATTTCCTTGAAGATAAATTGTTATCCACATTACTAGTTCTCAAATTTTATATTCACTTTCTTACCTGAGAATTGAGCAAACGATATCCAAAACAAAAAATAGAGATCAAGCGGCATCCTGGAGTGGTTTGTGTTGGGTTTGGGAGGGCCTTGTTTGTTTCTCATATCGAATTTATCAATGATGTTTTAGCCTTGCGTCGATACTTCTATCATGACTGGAAAACTCAATAAACATCTTCAGGGTATATGAGCCTGACGTTGTGATAGAGGAAAAGGCGAAGCAATAGGGATATGAATAGAGTTATCATATGGAGATGGCAAGCTGGTTGGGATAGAGGCTGAGATCTACTCCTCCTAGCTATTTGGGCCTGTTTTTTTTTTTGGGCGAGTCTAGAAAAAGCCTTAGGTTCTTGTAAGATTTAGGAGAAGGCTTGTTCCTTGGAAGAGTCAACTTTGGTCTCTTGGGGTGAGGATGTCCAGCTGAGGCTATTGTCACAGCATCGCCAATATCCAGGATTGACTAATGTCCTTATTTCAATTCCTGTGAATGTTCTTATCAAATCTGAAATATTATAAAGTGAATAATTGATCAGGGTGGAGGGTGCAGCAAGTTCAACTGAAATAATTGGGATGAATTATTCAAGAAATCTAGCATAATTGCATGCAAAGAACGCTACATGAAATGGATGAACTATTCTTGATCAAGTGGTGAAATTTCATGAAGAGGGGATTGTGGAGGAGGAGGCTATTGCTGGCAATATGGATCATGTGAGGCCTCATGGGGAGATAAGAACGTGACAATGGTCAAATACTATATTGCCTGGAGAGGCTTCTGTAGAGTGGAGATGGTGTTTAAGAGGAGAGAATCGAAAGTTGGGATCATCTGTAGGTTTGGGCGTTTTGAATTGTTGTATGCAGTCTTAATGTACTCGATGTTTCTTTAATTTACTTCTTCAATGAAATGTGTGGTCAAGGGCTGTTCTGAGCGTCGTTTTCCTTTGGTTGTGGAGCGGGGGAAATTTGGGGCTCATGACGGGACCTCTACTAGAGTTAGGGAGAGAGGTTCTATCCTAAGATACTTGGATACTTTTATGTGCCAAATATATGGGTATTGACACAATGTGGATGCCAGATATTGTTAGGATCCTTATATGAGGATTGATTAATTAGAGCCATTTTCTGCTTTTTCTATTATATAAACCAGGCTAGCACTGTTCAATCAATGAATAGACAATGTTGGAGCGATTGTGGGACCTACCACTTGGGTCATGTCATTCTACTCTCTCTCTAATGGAAATTTATGACAGCTTTAGCTTGGAACATATACTGCTACTAGGTGCAAACTTCCCATGGTGACTTCAATGCTCAATTTGGATGGCTAGCTACTTTGATTGGGAGGTTATGTTAAACAAGTGAAGGAGAAGCTAAAATTTGTAAAGCTTTCGTATGAATCATATTAGTGAAAACTTGGCTCTCTTTGGTTGAGGATGCAATAAGGAGTTATGTTCTTCAAAAAAAAAAAAAGTTATGTTAAAAAGGGAGCTATCTAGGTGAGCTTCTGTGCAAACACCCTGTGTCATGCTAATTATAAATTTTGGATGCTATTTTACTATCATGTTTATTAAAAAATTACCTATAATTGTTACATAAATGTTGTAACTTTATGAACAAAATCATTGTATTTAAATATTTTATTGTACATATTTATGGTTGGTTATGCATATTATTGGTCAACATTTTAATCAGGTATGTTGAATGTACCTGGTTGTCCCTTTCTATTGAGAAGGATCCTTGTTGGCAATTTATTTACTTTCCTTTTTTCATTTATAACTTTCTTTGATTATTCTTCGAATAATTTGAAATCACAGTATGCACTTGTGACGGAGCCTTTGTTCCTCCAATACTCTTGTGGCCATTGGAGCATCTGTGAAAAAGACACACACACACACACACATATATAATATA